GGGGGAGGCAGACATTTTCTAGAATGGGAGTAGGTGCAAGTATGACAGTCAAGAAATTCACACCCATTATGTAAAAAAACAACCCCCAAAAAGCCCCAAAACATAAAACCACGAAACATCTGGAATGACAGATTACAATCAGCAAAACGGCTCCGGTGCAAGCGTTATTGCACAAAATGAACAAACACATCCACCTAGGCTAAAAATAGAACACAAACTCACCCCCCCCCCTTCCTTACATTGGGTGTGAAGACACCCTAGTGTAAGCCTGTACAGAACAAGATAACTCCAAACACGTAAGTGAGTACTGAAACAATACAGCTGACACAGCTTCTGCCATCCAAACAAAATTTTTGACACAGTTCAATAAAACTTTCAATTTAATGCTCTGGACTTTTGATTTTGCCCCTATGTCAACTATCTGTAGAACATCCTGATGAGACAGGGGAAGGAACTGCTTCGCACGGAACATTCCCACGAGATGAGATAAAGCAAACAAAACTGAAAAGCACCGAAGAAAAATAAATTTTCGATAAATTAGTTTTAATGTGGAAAATGTACTTTTAAATGACATTTTGTGCAATTCTGACTATGAACATAAAAAAACAAACAAAAACCCCACAACAGATATACTCTCAAAACCGTTGCGGGTACTTTTGGGTACCGGGTACTCCAAACTTATGCTCAAAAACCACAGGCCATCAAACATACACTCACACGCATAATAGTACTAGTAATACTCGTAAGCAAGCAGACATACACACACGCGAGCGCGCCCACACACTAACGATAACAGCAAATAAAATGATTACAACACATTTCCAATGAAAAAAACTGATCCCAGTCAAAAGCTGTCATGATAAATGATCCACCCTAACACAATTTTTTTTCCCCACTAAATTAATTACACTTTCATTTGTTCACAAACTGAACATAAATAACTTACAAAAAATGCCATCTCATGGACACACACAATGAAATCACACAACACCTTACAAGATGCTAATTTCCCTTCCAGACAAATCTGTAACAACACAAACCAACAATCTCTTCCTGAACAACGAAATATTTCGTACAACACAAAACCAAACAGCTACATTTTCAAAAGAGAAACAACATTCATGACACAGTCTAAGAACATTTTCTACCGTTTTACATTTCAAACGTCTAAGTCATCACTACATTTTCACAACAGTCTAAAGACCACAGCCAACATCTGCATAATGCTCAACACATCACAGACAAGACAAACAGACACACACACAAATGACAAGGGAGTGCCACCAACATCAGGTAGTAGTTCCGCAGTCTGTTCATTAAAAAAAGACGGGCAAACATCGTATCCATAACGACAAAACCGTCATAACAAACAAGACCAAAGACTGCAACGTCCTAAACTTGCCGAATTCCCTGACTGTCGGGGAGGGAGGTAAATGGCACTCGCTCCTGACATAGGAAAACAATTCTACGGGGGGACAGGACAGGACAGGACAGGACAGAACATCATACAGCTGTGACTGACAAACTTAGAAACAGGACAGGAAACGCTTTGACTACATGATCTATCACAGAAAAGAACGGCCATGTAGTGAACACATTACACACACACACACACACACATACAGACACACAATGTGACGCACAACCACTAGGACGAGGCGCGGCGGGGCAGTCCCTAGCGGACGAGCGGCGTCTGCTTGAGCTGCAGCAGGATCCCGCGGAAGCGACCGACGTCCTTGGTGGTCTTGGAGTTCTTGGGGTTGAACTCGCACAGCCGCGTGATCTTCTCCCAGGCCTGGCCCGATACCTTCTCGTCACGCTCCTTCACAAACGCGTCCTCCGCCGCTCTGTACATCACAATGGAGGGGGGGAGAGAGACCAATGAAAAAGTAAGGAATTAGAGCGTGTAAACAGCATTATACTCCTTTAGATTTAGATTAAGTTCAAGTTTGAGTAAAGGGAGACATATCGACACATAAACGGTCTTTGACTACAGGGGAAAAGTAAGACAAACAGACAGAAACAACAGAGGAAAATAAAAGAAGTAGGACCTACCACTCAGTAACACCCGCCATCATTTGGTGCGGGGAAAAACTTTGTATTGTTTTGTTTTAGTGAGAGGTTTCATGGCACTTACAACACAATTAGGTCATCTAAGTGCTGATATTTAGAGGTGTAACAAGAGAGTAACATTGGAAGAGAAAGAGGAGGAGAGATGAGGACAACAGATGTTGGACAGGAAAGCAGGAATAAACCCACTGGATAAGAGCAAGACAGACAGACAGACAGACAGACAGACAGACAGACAGACAGACAGACAGACAGAAAAACCAGGAGGGACAAAAGAAGGAACAAACAGAATTGCCTAATGTCGTTGTTGTTGGCCTAGATTACAGCCAATCAGTATGAGTGAGAACCAAGATATCTTGCCAAAAACAAATACGGTCAATAGTGATAGTTACATGTATATATAGATCTATATTGTGAGGGTGTCTATGTACTGCAAAAAGATGCTGAAAGCAGGTAAATCATTTCTAGATGTCTTTGGATTTACCTCTGGTTCACAATTACACAAACTGATCATCATGACCGACCACAACCAGCCAAGCAGACCGCTCTACACCTTTAGTACCCTCCACCAGCTGTGATAAGGGAAAGTACATCTGAGCCTTGGAGTCTTTGACTTTGAGCGTACAGACACACACCTCCCACAAAAACAGTGGATGACAACATGCACTTCCAAGATAAGTGGGCGACAAATCTTTTTTTCAAAAAAACACAAAAAACATGTGAACAACGCTCTCTTCTAAGAAATGTCAACATTCCTAGATTAGGATTATGATCATTTAAATTAAAACTATTTCTGATAGAGAAACAAAGAGGGGGGG